GAAACAATACCGATCCATGACAGCACAATAAAAAAGACAGAAACATACATACAGAGTGAGTTTTATGTATGGAAACGCCCAATTATCTCAAAAACGGCTTGCTCGATTTTTATAAATTTTGGTATGTGAGGGTATTGTTATATGGCCGATATTATCGTGCCATTTACATGGTTGTCAGATCATTCGATTTTTGGCAACTATTAGGAACTTTGTTATTTCAAATGGATCACCCTGTATATTTTTCAGTTTTCGTAATCCCTGAATAATACTGAATATTTTTCATGAAATGTTTCCTATACCCAAATGCCTTAATTTAGGAATTATAGCTACATTTACATTAAAAACCGCAAAAGTTGAAATAATTCATTGGCTTGTCCCGCGTGATGAGAGCTCGTCGCGGGAACGTCTCGTCATGTCTGTGCACACCTTAAGATCTCTATGACTACAAAAATAATAGCTTTCACGTTTCAGTAAATTATTATTTGTCAGTTTTCATTGAATACCATAATGAATCGTTCATCTGAAAAAAAAAAAACGAATTAAGATTTTAATTTAATTTAATTTTATTAGGATATGGTTGTATGCGTAGAAGTCCACAAGATAATTTATATCCCAACCGAAATTCCATTACAAAATCTACTGTGAGTAAGCTGGTAAAAAAGTTTACCCAAACTGATGCAATGAAAGATTTACCCAAATCTGGGCGCAGGAAAACTAAATTAACTGAAAACAATAGCTATCTTAATATTACTTTTTCATGGTTGGCTCACACACAAACGGAAAATCCTTTACCACTCAACGAGCGGCGTGTACACTGAGATGTCGATGGACATTGCGCTGTAGGTTATAGTTTTCGAGAAAAGTATTCATGCCTTTGGAAGTTCATTCCAGAGCTAGGCAGCCCTCCAGACCAAATTGACTTCTGAACAGTGACGTCCTAGGTGTTCGCAGCTGAATTGTATGTTCATGAGCTGCTTGTGTTGACGAGTGTATCTGTTTGGTACAACTCTGGGCAGAGTCACAAGTGTCAGTTAATTCGAGCACCTGCTGTAATGATATCGATAGAATAGTGATAGGTCTACCACTTTTTCCCGAGGTTTATGGCTATTAATGGTATTTGGTCAACTCCAGGTCAGCAACAGTTTTCGAGGGATGCTCTATAGAGCGCCCCTAGCTTTTGTGCTGGTGCCTTGGCACTCGACAGGAGCTATTAATTGATCACTTCTCCGAACTGTTTTTTTGCCTTTTTTTCTTCTTCTTCGCCATTGGTCTGCTTACAGTGGTTTCTAGTCGTGAGAATGTATTGAGATTTTAGGCTGTCGGATTACGATGCCATTTGCAATAAGCAGCATTTTTATAATTTCCCGCTGTTGAGCAGTTTTTATTGAACCATGGTTTGATAGCTAGTTCACAGGTTGCGGAGTTGGGATTGTGATCTGATGAACCCAACGAGGGTTGAAAAATCTAAATTTATCCAACCCATTACAGCAGCTGCTCAAAATGTTGTCCGTTGACTTCCAGACAACAAGCCATGCGATTTTTAAAACTTTGCAATACATTTTGCAACATCCCTGTCTGCTCTATTCTTCTTATCTCGTTGGTGATTCTATCTCTCAATTCCTCAATATTGAGAGGTTTTGTTTTATAAACAGTGTTTTTCAAGTGGCCCCATAGGAAATAGTCTAGAGGATTCATGTCGGGTGATCGAGGAGACCATTCGATAGATCCACGCCTTCCAATCCATCTTCCGGGAAACAAACGATTTAGGTATTGTCTCACCTCACGGGCATAGTGGGGTGGAGCTCCATCTTGTTGCAGCCAAATATTGTTTTGGGGAATATTGTTATTGTCTGAAAGTTTCAATAAATTATTTTTTTTTTTAATTTTAAAGGCAATTGAAAATACTCACTTGGATTTGGAAATAACCGAGCCAACTCAGGTATAATACTATCTTCCAATAAACGTAAATACGCGGGACCATTCAAGTTTCCTTCAATAAAAAACGGTCCAATTATTCTGTCGCCTATTATTCCAGCCCATACATTCAGTTTCTCGGGATATTGGGTGTGGGATTCACGCATCCAATGAGGATTGTTACGAGACCAGTATCTACAATTATGCCGATTTACGTTGCCATTGATAAGAAAAGTGGCCTCATCGCTAAACATAACATTATTTAAAAAATTTGGATTGTTTGGATCGTAACATTTTCTCATCATTGTATCGGCAAACTCCTCACGTCTATCAAAATCGTCATCTGACAACTCCTGAACCAACCTCACTTTGTATGGATGGAATTTATTACCATGCAGAATTCTCATCACGGTTGTTTGAGAAACTTCAAGTTCCCTGGATATTTGCCTAGTACTCAAGTGAGGATCGTCTTCTAACATGACACAAACATCTAGAGATTTGTTGTCAGTTGATTTAGTCTTCCTGCGCCCTGATTTGGGTAGATCTTTTACTCCAGCAGTTTGGGTAAACTTTTTAAGCAATTTACTAACAGTTGATTTTGTAATGGGATTGCGGTTGGGATATAAATCATTGAAAATATCACACGTTTCTTGTTGACTTCTACGCCTATCACCATATCCCAATATCATCAAAATCTCAATTCGTTCTTTTTCAGATAAACGATTCATTATCACATTCAATGAAAACTGACAAATAATAATTTACTGAAACGTGAAAGCTATTATTTTTGTAGTCATAGAGATCTTAAGGTGTGCACAGACATGACGAGACGCTCCCGCGACGAGCTCTCATCACGCGGGACAAGCCAATGAATTATTTCAACTTTTGCGGTTTTTAATGTAAATGTAGCTATAATTCCTAAATTAAGGCATTTGGGTATAGGAAACATTTCATGAAAAATATTCAGTATTATTCAGGGATTACGAAAACTGAAAAATATACAGGGTGATCCATTTGAAATAACAAAGTTCCTAATAGTTGCCAAAAATCGAATGATCTGACAACCATGTAAATGGCACGATAATATCGGCCATATAACAATACCCTCACATACCAAAATTTATAAAAATCGAGCAAGCCGTTTTTGAGATAATTGGGCGTTTCCATACATAAAACTCACTCTGTATACCTTGGCCAAGCTTTAATACCGGGCAAACAAAACCAAGAAATGGAAATTGATTTGAGAAATTGACTGGGATGGGCGGCTTACGGCAAATTAAAGTATATCTTCAGCATGAATAGTCCAATGACTTTTAAATCAAAAATCTATAACGAGTGTATACTGTCTGTTCTCACGTAATAGCGAGACCTGGGTGATAACCAGAAAAATTAAACACAAATTGGAAGTACATCAGAGAGCCATTGAAAGACGAATTTTAGGAATTTCCCTGAGAGACCACAAAACAAATACATGAATAAGGGAAAGAACCAAAGTCTCCGACATAATAAAAAGGTTCCCTGAAATGGCAATGGGCAGGACACCTGGACAGACATACAGATAACTGGAGCGGGTTTATCACTAGATGGAGACCTTGGGAAGAGAGGAGAAGTGTTGGAAGACAATGGTCAAATTTGAAAGAGGCCTATATCCTAGGGATAGAAAACGGCTAAAAATGGAAATGGAAAATGGAATCTAAATTAAACGAACCATTTTGCAATTGATTTACTTGAAAAATCGTAAGTACTAGCACCACTGGAATTGAAAATATCTGGGCTGGAACTCTGTACCGGATAGAGATCGTTATCCCTATCGCTATGGCACTTGCTGTCTTCTTCTCTCTTGTCGAAATCAATAGAGAGGAAACGTCAATAGAGATAGAGAAAATACCTCTATTCGTTACAGAGTCCCAGCCACTAATAAGGAAGAATCATCTCTATTTTTCTTTTTATCCCGAACTCTTTCATCTCATTCATTGGCGAAATGTTCATACTTATCACAACTTTAGCCCCATGGACCATTCTGTTTGAAGTTTCTGTTGTTTTTACCCATATTAGTTCTTCTTGAATGGCTTCCACCATGTCCAAACATTGTTTGATTTTGATCAGAAATATCCGGAAGCAACTTTGTTTTGATGGAATCACCAGGGACGGGTGTACCTGAACTTTCAATACCCATTGGTATCATTGGTTTATAAGTTTCGGGTAAACCTGCTAACATAATGGTGCCCACCCATTCGTCATTGACAGCTAAACGAACATTTCAAAGTTTGTTTGCTGTCATTATGACAGTATTAACATAATTTTCAACAGAACTACATACTATTTTCCAATGTTGTGGTACCTAACCAATTCTTGTATTTCGCGTCGATCCGCAGTCTTGTCGTTTTGTTTGAACGGATATGTACATAATTTATTGGATCATTTAAAAAAATAAATTTCGACCATGTTCTTTTAACTTTTTTGGCATTTGCTTCTGTACCTTCTATTGCAGCCCACAGTTCTTCCATTTCAAAGTATGCTAGTACAGCGAACTTCCATTGGTCTTAATTTTCTCGCCTATTCAATCTTGGTATTTTTTGGATCTGAACAAGCTGATTGTGATCACATGAGGTTTGTTCATGAGGCGTCAAAAAACAGCTGGGGCCAATGAAATCGTGGTAAAACCTCAAGTGATTTTGATCAGTTTGTTTAGAGCGAAAGAATACTTCTTTTCGCGTTGGACGCGGTAACTGATAAGGGGCCAAAAGGCCCATAACCCAACTCACTTGCATCGTATCGTTCAACTATCTAAAAAACCGGCACTTGCGAATCACAATACAAACAAATAAAGATATAAATAATTCTAATAGGATGACTTGCGTATAACAATTCATAATTATTAAGCAGTTATGTTCCTACTAGTCATCTTGTGTTGTCTGATAATTTATTGCAATTAATTTTCACGTGCTCTCAAAATCACTTTAAAAATACAACAAAATTATAGCATCAAAACAATGTCCCCTCTCAAAATATCTCCACTCGACTTACTATTTAAACTATGTATATAAATAATGTAAATTCACTTTATTCTCAATATAGAACTTACAATGTTATTTTCGGTAACGCAAATTTTAATTGCTTCGGCAATAGTATTGCTAAGCTTTATAGCTTATCTCTACTCGGACGTTATAAGGGCAAGAAGAAAATTGGCTTGGGTACCTCAGATACCCAGAGTACCATTTTTGGGTAGTATTTTTGAGCTTGGAGACTTGTCACGTAAGTACACACCATAATATACATTTTTATCGCTTCCCATTAATCACCAAGCCAAGTAGAAAAAATAAAATTCCATTCCATTCCAATATTGGATTCACCACAATGTAAATATTCTATTTTATATTTTCAGGGATTCTATCTGATTTTTTGAGAATCACAAACAATGTCAAAAAAATGGCGTACTATGAAGTAGGAAACAAATGGGTGCTAGTCGTTAAAAATTACGACTTACTGGAGTTCATATTAACGTCAACTTCAACTAGCCTTTTAACCAAATCTAAGGATTATGTATCTTTCCAGCCATGGTTGGGAAATGGACTATTGACAGCGCCAGGTAAATGCTTTATTTATTGTAAACTAATTGAAATTCAATAACTGGTTTTAGGTCCCAAATGGAAAAAACGTAGGAAGGTCATAACACCTGCGTTTCATTTTTCGATTTTGGAACAGTTTGTGGACATTTTTGAGTCAAACTTGGATATTTTGATCAAGAAATTGGAAAACGAGGCTGTGGGTAAACCGAAAACCGATCTTGTACCCTACATCACCACTTGTACGTTGGATAATATTTGTGGTAAGTGGTTCAATAACAAGTATTTGAATGAAGTGATGATAGTTAATATATTATCATGTATCTATGGTATCTGAAATTTTGAAGGTTTGGAAGAAAAATCTCCCAATCAATTATTGTTTGCATAAACATATTTTGTCTAAAAGGTTTTTCATGATACCTACTAGAACGTTGAAAATTATGTCAAAAGCAACTACGCTAGTTGAATAAATGAAGGTTAATTTCTTATATTTTTTTTCAGAAACTGCAATGGGAGTTCGCATCGAAGCACAAAGCAACAAAAACCAAGACTACGTAAACGCTGTGAAAGATTTTTCCAAAATTGCTATGGCTAGAGCTTTTTCCAGCTGGAAAACTAATGACTTGCTTTTTAAATTTTCAAAAGAATACAAGCTACAGAATAGAAATATGGAACTTTTGCACGGACTTTCGAATTCGGTTATTGAAAAGAGAAAACAAGAATTGCAGAATAATAAAAACGTTGAAAGTTTAGAGGAGAATAGTTTGGGCAAAAAGAAGAAATTAGCGTTTTTGGATTTGATGCTGAAATCTACTATCGATGGTCAGCCATTGACTCAAGAGGAGATTAGAGAAGAAGTTGACACTTTCATGTTTGCGGTAAATTAAGAAATTTTACTAAATTATTATGATTTTATAAATTAATATTTTAGGGGCATGATACAACATCATGGGCTATAGCGGTTGCATTATACTTATTATCAAACCATCCAGAGGTTCAAGTAAGTAACTCTTCAATTTTTCTTATGCATTTCTGAAACATTTCGAAAAAATCTGAAAAAATCAAATAAAACTTCTATATTTTCTAAATTTAATTTATTTATTATAGAAAAAAGTTCGGGAGGAACAAAGAGAGATTTTCGGCAAAAAGAGAGACAGGACAGTAACTTATCAGGATTTGCAAAACATGAAATATTTAGAGGTCGTCATAAAAGAAACCCTAAGGCTTTACCCATCACTTGCAATGATAGGAAGATTAGCTACTGATGATATTAATTTCAAAGGTAAAAATAATGGTCGTTATTGATAATCTACGAAAAACTTAGCCAATGCTTCTAGGAAATATTAGATACAATTTTGTTATGGATAGGTATAATAGGTTCCCACCTATTTCTGAATTTTAAATCAATTCAGTAAACTCAAACATTAGTGGTGGATTGGAAAGCATTGAAGTTATTTCTCCTCAATCTTGGTTTCTTCTCTAATCTCTGTTAAATTAAATTTGTTTCTAATCCATCAGGTAATATCATTCCCAAAAACACATTGATGACTTTGTTTATTTTCGGAATTAACCGAGATCCCGACTACTATGAAAATCCTGAAGAGTTCAAACCCGAGAGATTTTTGGATAGTACCGGTAAACACCCATATGCGTATATTCCTTTTAGTGCTGGACCAAGAAACTGTATCGGTGAGCATTATCTAATGGTTTAGTATTATTTGAGAACTAAAACATATTATTTTCAGGACAAAAATTTGCACTTTTGGAAGTAAAGAGTACGATATCGGGCATAATCAGAAACTTCGAGTTACATCCTACGAATCCGACTCACAAATTACAAATTTCATCCGAAGCAGTACTCAAGTCTCTAAATGGTATAATGGTTAGAATTGAGAAGCATAAATGGGAATAGGCGAATAAACACAAATATTATATGCATAGATAAATCTAAATGATAAACATATCAATACATTATTTCTACTTATTATTTAAATATTCTTCTACAAAAATACCTATTATAAGTATTCCTGTATTCCTCTGAATGTTTCGTCAAGAAAAATCTAGCTTTCCGGAAGCAGTCAGTGTCGTTGGATACTACAATTACTTAGATGATTACTTATATCAGATGCTTGGCTGCCACAAACGCACGCTTGACATTAAAAATGTTTCCGACGTTTCTGAAGAAGAAAAACGCATGATGTTGGCAATGGAAATACTGTGGGGGGAGGACACTTTTCTTCTCAAATGGGATTTCATTATTATCTATTTATTTTTAATTTAAGGGCTTCATCTAAATCGAATTATCTGATGTAGTGTTTGTTTCTCTCCGATATTAATACCGATATCAATACCTACGTCACTCTTGCCCCTCATTAAACACGCAACGCGCAGATACAACGATTTTGTTACCAGACCCTTAAGGAAGGTGGTCATGTTCGTCGATACATGCCTTCTTAATTTGGGTGGTCGTATAAGACGTTCCAGAGATCTTATGACATCAAACATCTCCTATTGTGCCCAAGTCACACATTGCTTTAGGTTTAAGCTTATAATCTGTACATAGCCGACCTGCCATATTGTCGAGTTTCACAACTCAACCATTTTTAACATAAGAAGTGCAAAAACCTTCAAAGGTTACGTTTGTGTCTTCGTGCGCACTTCTACAAAATATTAACAGTTCGAGATCATTTACGGAGGCATTCATCGCAACCTTCCATCGCTTTGTAGCAAAAGACGGATTTGTAACTCGAATCTTTACAGGTCACGGGTCGCAGTAATAACTTCAGGCTCCTACTGGATTTCGGTCGTCAGACTACAGAAAAAGTATTGCTTCAACCCCCCAGAAGGAACCCATTTCAAGTGCCTCGTGGAAGTAAGCAAACCCCAACTTTACTGAGTTATCGGTTCACAAATACTGCTATTTGAGGAATTTGACACTTGCCCACCTTTCTTACCTAAGGGTGTTACGATAAATTTATCATTTACGTAACATGCTCCATCTCTTCTTATTTTCATTATAAAGTAGTATTTTTTCCATTTTAGAATCAGCCACATAATATCCACAAAATTCAAATTCAAATAATACAAGTGCTGCCATCTATCCACATTTGCGTAAAATGCAAGTATCGAGAATTGATTTTTCAGAATTGCCATCTAGTGCCCGATGATCTATATTTCAAAGTATGATTTTTGAAATTCGCATTTGACAGTCATTTGTATTTTCATTGAAAGATATTATATTTATCTCACTTTTAGCAAATTGATACATTTCTGTCCTTTTCTAAATTCTGATTCTGAAATAATCATTTTTTGGCTTAATGATCCAATTAATTAACAGTCTTTTATTTTTGAAATAACCTTAATTTAAATTATTATAATTTGTAAACATTTAAAATAATTTTAGTGGATTTTTATCCATTTTCTTTTATTCCATGCGGTCTTTCATTGTGTTTTCATTTTGAAGTGAATATGGTCTTTTGGGTGTACTCGTCTGAATGGTTGAAGCTAGTTGGAATGCAGTTAAGTATAAAAAACACAGGAGCGGGACTCTGTGCCATGTAGAGTTCTATAGGTAGCTTTCTACTAAAGAAATCTACTTTTATAGTCGACAGTACCCTTCATGCCTACTCTGTGTCACTATCGACAACACATCGGAAATTTTCGGCACGTTTTTTCAATTTACTAACCATCCCAAAAACATTCTGTCAAATTTCGGGGAAATTCTAGGGAATTTTTATTTCTACCATATAAATATTGTTTTGATTCATTTCATTATTTTCATTCATTGATTTTCATTTCATCATTTGATTGACATTAACATAAACTTACAAAATTTTGATTTTTCCTTGTTGTTTTGAATTAAGTTGTCTTGCAACATAAAATAGTAATAAATCCCAAGCCAAAAACTCTCGAAGCCTTTCAGAACGTGTTGGGTTATTCCTTTTGATTTTTTTGTTTTTGAACATTGAACAATTTATAAGCTTGATTGAAACGAGGATTGAAAAGAATGCTTCCCATAAACAATTTGAATAATGTGATTGTCGAAGAGGATGATAGACTGGAGGAAATCCGCATAGAAAATATCCAAAGAAGAATTATGCGGGAAAATAGTGAATGCTTCCAAATAGAAGATGTAAGGTTCAAAGAATTATTCCGGTTGACAAAAGACATGGCCCATTATGTGCTGGATGGGATTATGCCAGCCATAACAAATAATGTGAATCCAGTGGCAATTCCACCATCAGTGAAATTTTTCGGCACTTTACATTTTTTTGCTACTGGTACCTACCAACGAGTTATTGGCCGAAGTTACAATGTGTCTGTGGCTCAACAAAGTATAAGTAGGGCAATTCACGAGGTTACAATGGCAATCATTGATAACTTTGCTGCCTGGGTGCAATTTCCTTCAACATTAAATAGAAGAAATGACGTTACAGCAGGATTCATGGAAAAATTTAATTTTCCAGGAGTAGTCGGAGCTATCGATGGAACCCATATTGAGATTATCAGGCCACAGGAACAAGAACACGCCTATTTAAACCGAAAAGGATTCCATTCAAAAAATTTACAAATAATTTGTGACTCAGATCTAAGAATCCTAAATGTCAATGCCCAGCATGCAGGAGCTTCCCATGATTCTCATATATAGAGAAACTCTATTGCAAAAAGGGAAATGGAAGCTGCGCACAATAAGGGAGACAGGAATTCCTGGCTTTTGGGTGATTCCGGGTATCCTCAAGAGCCCTGGCTGATGACGCCTATAGAAAATTCAGCTCCAGGGACTCCAGAATTTAACTATACCCAGTGCCAGATTCAAGCAAGAAACTGTGTAGAACGGTGTATAGGCGTGTTCAAGGGAAGATTTTTGTGCCTATCAAAAATTTTAAGATATACACCAGAAAAAGTTGGCAATTTTGTGAATGTTTGTGCAATTTTACATAATATTTGCATTGAGGGAAGACTGAATGATGAATTTGTTATTCCAGTACTCCCAAATAGAAGGGATTTCATTCATGTACCATATAACGGCAATATTTTTCAGGGAGGAGTCCAAGCACGAAACCATATTATTCAGAGATACTTTAGACATTAATATTTTTCAATTTTTTAAAAGTTTTTATCGTCTGTTATATAATTTATAGTGTGTTTATTTTAGTGGCATGCAGACGTGATAATTATTACATCTGCTTGCCACTTAAATAAACACACTATTGATATTTTTGTTAATAAAAAAATTAGTCATGTTAATAATTATTGGTGTTTTATTTTATTTATTAATTTTTATACATCCAAGTTTTCAATTATATGTATAATAAATCTGAAAATGAAAATACAATTATTTCCAAAGAAAAATCAATTTATACTATGTGAGAAACACAACTTAATGGAAGAAACATCCCTATCCTATTTCAATAAACTATTAATTATTTCTAATAAACAATTTCAACTAGGAAAAAAATAACAATACTTAATACTATTTTGAGCAACTATACACGGGTTGACAATAAAACTACTACCCATGGCGGCATTTCTTAACGGCTAGAGATATAGAAATATGCACCTTGGTATGTTGATAGGGTTAAAAATTGTGAACAATTTTAATACGAAAACAATTGAATGTCTTTTCCGGTTTTACCGGAAAAGGCAGTTTTTACGTAAAATACAAACCAATAGGAATTACGACATATTTTTGAGCCACTCTATTTCAAAAACTATGAATTTTTGACATAGGGTATGTTAGACGAAAGTTACATACAGGGTGTCCCATTTAAAATAACAAAGTCAATGCCATCTCCGGTGAAACCGGAAAAGACATTCAATTCTTTTTATAAACCCTGTCAACAAACCGAGTTGCATAATTCTATCTCGAGCCGTTAAGAAATGCCGCCGTGGGTAGTAGTTTCATTGTCACCCGGTATGTATAGGTAGGAACTGGACAAACATAAGGTTGCATAATTTATTCATAGGTTTGAAATGAAAGAAACCATAATTATTGATCCATTATTTCTGCAAAACATTTGCAATTATATTTAGAGAAGATGCAATACTTTGGGTATTGCTTACTATTCTCTCAGTATTATTTGCAATACTTTCAGTATTTGCATTTAGGATTTTAAACATCTCCACAGTTTCTCTATTCAACTGTATTAGTTCACTCGATAGATGAAGGGTTTGCTGGGGTCTTCGTCTAATAGATTTTGTAGGAGAGACAAGTTTTGTTTTTTTAACAGTCCTCTGCTCTGCATCGCCATCTTCATTATCTTCAATGCAATCATTTTCTTTGCCACTCCCTTGTCCATAATCATGAACTTGGTTTTGGGGCTTATTTTGGGTGACTGGAATGCTATCAGAAGTATTTATTGGGGTTTTGTTTCTCAATTCGACTGCTGGCCCAGACTCAGTCTTGCACCCAAATACTTTTTTTTGCATTCCATCCTGCAAAAAATAAATCTTGGTGTAGTAATAATAGCTAGCTAATTATTAGACTAGTGGGTAAAGTACCATTCAAGTCTTACAAGAAAAGTTTATTTTTTGTTAATTGAATATCAAGGTTATGTAATTTTATCCACAAGTTTATTTTCAACTTTCATAGTGTGTGGTAAGTATGTGGTATGACAATGGGCATTCATTATTTTGATTGAACAAATTCATGAAAGTAGAAAGTTGAAATGAATTTGCGTGTTAAAAATTAATAAATAATTACATACATTGTCGTGATTGCCAAAACCGATTTCAGGAACCTCTTCATCGCCAAAAACCGACTTTGTTCCCATTATTGCCAGAAGTTTGTTCTCCAAGATGGATAATGGGGGTGCATCATTAGAACCTCCACCAGTTTTCTGCATTTCTCTTTTAATTGCAGCTGCCTTTGATTTTGTCTTCGATTTCCAATCTGTAAGTGCCTACAAAAAAAATGAAAATGTAAATCAGGGGCATGACTCATAAGTCTCCTACATAAGTTCTACCTAGTAGCTGAAATGGGGTTTACCTAAAATGGATCCAAAAATCAAATAACTTAAACAAACCTTATACTAACCTTTCGCCAGCCTTCCATAGGTTTTTCTCCGTGTCCCAAACTGTTCAATTTGGATGTAACTGTTTTCCAAAGGGCATGTCCCTTAGCTTTTCCTTCAGGCCCATTAAATTTTGTTTGTTATTAATTCCGGGTTCCTGTCACAAAGCTCTAATAGCAGCTGCCAATGCTCCATTCGTACTCGCATTGTGATATGAATAATAAATTTGAATAAGTTACTAGAATATTAACCATCGACTTTGAAAGCAGCAGCAAAAAAATTCACATCACAAATAATTAAATAAATAAACAATTTTCTGGTTTCTATGTCATTTCAATTGTCAGTTTTGCCATAGCTGGTAGAATTCGACACGTCCCGAGATGTAGATCAGAAACTATGGAATAAATCGCTTTCAGTTGATACACAGCGAACACACAGTGCGGCTCGTGTAGAATCTTGAGAACATATAGAATTCTACATGACACAGAGTCCCATAGCAGGATCGTTTTCCTGCTGGCTTAGTTTTCTAAAACGAGCTCTTCTTGAAAAACACTCTGGCCAGGCAAGTCCTCTTTATTTCAATATTCAAATTATCATATCTTTACTAAGTTTTTACCTGATAAATCTTATCTTATCTGTTTTTGAAATATAAATATTATATTTTAAGTTTTTCTATCGAATTGTTGGCTTCCATTTTGTGTGAATTACTTATTGGTTAGTAAAACGTTTTTGTTAAGAGGTAAGTCAAGACAGATTTTTGGGTTTTAAATAGGTACTGCTGCTCTGGCTTTCAGAATCAATTTTTAGTGTGGGAAAATTGGATCATTTGCTCTAAATAGAGTCGGTGAGAACCAAATTTGTGAGTCCATCCCCATTAATTCTTTATTGAATCCAGGCAGAGGCCTGAACAGCCATTTTCTGCTTGACTCCCTAAATTATTATCTTAACTAAAGGGTGTAATTTTTTTAATAGAAATCCAGACAGGTCAAAAATTCAGTTAAAAAGTTTTAATTAGAACATCTCAAGAATTTTGATACATTCTGGATTTGAATAATTTCAACCCCAGGTTTATCTAGTATCTGTGGTAGCTACCTTAATTCGAGGGGAGAATTTTGTCTACTTGGGGAGGAATCCAGATATTTGATTTCTTATTTTTTTTACTTACCTTATTTTTGCTCATATTTTTGCTCGTAATTTTTGCCTGCCAGAACTGTTTTTCAAGGAAGCAGCATTTTGCTCAATTATAACGAGCATTATAATCATTATTTTACTATTATCATTATCTTATCTTATTTTTAATTATTCAAATTTTTTTTATATTAAAATATTAATTTTTTCTACTTGCAATAGTTTTTATACCTGATTCTGTTGAAAGGAATGTCTGTATAACAATCATTTTGTACTAAATTTCAATTCCAATTTCCTGTGCAAAACACTCACTTTTTGACAGAATTCAGGAATTCAATGTTCCAAATATTGGTGAACCTGATACTGCCTTATTCTTTTCTGGGTGCCTATTCTACATAAGGATCATTGTTTGGAGTCTGGATCAGCTGGAGTGACGTCACCCCAGCAATCTACCCTCTTCCTGGAAACAGGAAACAACACCAAGAGCTACAGTTCACGAAAGTGAAACCCCAACACCAATTGAAGAGCTCTGGATTGGAAAGCAGGTACTTGGTATCAGATTCACCAAGAAAAACCAAGCTGTTAGCACTGAAACTAGCTACAGAACATTGTTAACAAAATAAAATTATTGTTTGTTGGATTTTGAGTGGTTTCATTTGCACACAAAGGAGCTACACGTTATCTTAACTTTGCTTTGAATTCACGACCCTAGGTTATCTTTGTCTGAAAGTCACAAATTATCTTTTTTATATGTAACAAGGGTCATCTCTGATCTTGATTTTACTAGTCACATCAACATCGTTTGAATCGTTGACAGTTGACCAAAAGTTTCACTCTGACTGTGGGAAGTGATGGTCTCAGAAATACCATCATCCATTATAGGAGCGGCACAAATGGTTCATCCCATCATCAGGTCCAAAGGAAATTACTCTTTGCCTAATTATTTACTAGCAAAGCCCACCTTTTTGTTGGGTACTGGGGCGGATTGTCAGTCAAACTGTACTCCGAAGTAGCAAGATAAGGTAAGGGTGCTGTGTTTCAAGAATCATATTTATTTCGTTTCTCTGTTAAGTAGCTTGTAAAAAATTATTTTCCACTACTTCATTTCACTTTGCAAACCGCAAGATTAACGATTATTTGAAATCAATCGGAACGTCGGCGAAACCTTCGGCCCTTTACTCAGCAAATCCAACCGACTGTCAATGTTTGGTTCACTAAAAAAGCCTTTTTTCAAATACCATTTATGGTACATTGAGTTGCCTCACGTTGCGTTACGTTTTCGTGAAGTGCCATAATTTCGCCGATGATTTCGGATTTTCACAACCATCCATTCGGTAAGCTTTGCATTGCATCTTGTGGATGCAGCCTGGTGATTTCAGCTCTTAAAGTTTCTCTCGGTTGAATTGGACATCCGTATATCTTGAGTATAGCTTGGTAGTTCCCATAACAAAATGTGCAGTAATTTGATTTGTGCTTTGCTATTCTCTCTCTGAATGTGTCAAATGTATAGAACCTCTACTGTATAATAGCTAGATGCTTGAATCAACATCTCCTCATCCCACTCACTAGAAGCTAAAACAGATTAAAATCAGCAAAATTAGCAGGATTCGAGTTGAAGTATTCATAATTATACTCGAGATAAGTTGTCAGTCACCAATTCAATATACAAAGCTGGATGATGAGAATCACACTTCACAATAGGATATTGCACGGCAGACACATTGAGTGTAACATTACAAAAAAAAAAATCTGAATACCTACCTATCTCTTGCAACTGATGTGGAATTATTATTACTAAAATTCGCGCAAACTCAGACAGAGTCATATAATGTACATATATCATGATACAGCTCAACAAGATACACAGCATACAAATAATCCAAACATACGCTCCGACCAGCAAATCTCCAGAAGAAGAATAGAGAATGCGAACAATAGGGAACTTGCTCATTAAATTAAATATGAAATAAATGATAAAATACAATAACAATCATCCTAATAAATGATGCAATTAGGAAAAGGATATAATATCTTATCTCTGGTTTTCAAAATCTTCAATTGAAAATACCAAATAATTCGAAATTCTTGACGAGATCAAAAACGTATTTCTATGGGTCCTGACGTCAAAGGGCAGTAATAATCGGGTCGCACCGCTGCCACACCATGTGCTGCTGGTGTTGTCAATGTCAAATCTATCATAAACGGCATACATAACAACATAACCATAATCTAAATCTACCTGCTCGCAGGTCACTGTCAACCAAGGACTGTGAACGGAATTTTGTTGCTGAGTGACGTCACACTAATCGGTCGTTTCAAATGGCGATGTTTCGAGCGTAACTTCAAATATTTATAAAAAATTAACGGCTGATTTTTAATGCTTGATATTTGGCATGACTATGTCTTTAGTGTAGTACAACACATTTTTGAAATAAAAAAAAAATTTGCAAGTTCCCTATTCTACGAAGATATATCAGTAGCAATGAACTCTGAAAGAACATAGCCTAAGATAATATTAGGAGATTTTAGTGCGAAGATAGGACGACGAAGTGCATCAGACTCGCATAACATCGGAAATTGTGGGTTGGGAGAACGAAATCATAGGTCAGGTAATGCTAGAATTTCTTTTCTGTTTTCGAGACAGTCACATGGACACATGCAAGTGCTTACAAGTTGAGAGTATGTCAACGCGCCATGGGAAGAGCAATGCTTGGTATTAGATTCAGAGATCGGGTGCGAAATAGACATTCGACCGAGAACAAAAGAGGACGATGTGGTGGTACAAAAATATACTCGAGAATATACTGGAGCATCTTTCCCTTTCACTATAACCTCTCTTGTATAAGATGAAATGCTTCTGCTCCAATTATTTTTGTTTACCAAAGGAGTGATAATGAGCTTAGCTCGGTTATGTTGCTCTCTCTCAACTGAAAACTGTGTTAAACATTCGTAAATAATTGACATGTTGAGCTGGTTCTGGGTTCCGCTGTGTGGAATCCACAGCACTGCACTCAAGAGTGAAGATGTGCCAAAACAGCGAAATGCGTTTGAGCTGCATGAAAAACTAGGCAAGGATTTTTTGCGTCTCATTAAGCACCTCCTGGTCGTGATTTCCAAAATTAACCAGGAAACAGCACTTTATGAACTAGCAAAACTCCACTCAGCTAACCAGCGCAAACTTTACAATAAGTTTCTATTAAGAAACTTCTTGGCACATAATATTTCCTAATAAAATAAAAACCGATATACTCCAAAAATGTAACGTCACCCTCGTTGCATCATTATTGTTACACAAGGAAACATTAGTAACTGCATTATTCCACCCCTACTATAGGCAATATGATTAAATCACCCACTCCATATATCATCTGGATAAAATAGAGGCAATTTGATTTTCCAAGTGGTTTGCTTGAGGGGTCGGGATGACTCTTCATTTTCTGCCTGTTGAATAAATTTCTATGGATAATAAATTAAGAACGAATGCGGACGTGGAAAATGTGAGCTTTGTTCACATATTACCAGAGAAAAAATAAATTGGAGAACTGCTAAATAACTGACAAAAAATAAAACAGAAATAATTGGACAATGGACAGAAAAACTATAAGATAGGAATGGAAAAGAAAAGAACTAAAGAAGTTGGATAATGTAATAAAAGAAATACCAACTTTATAAAAAAGCTGAGTTCTTCGTCATTGTATGGTAATTGGAAATAGAAACGTTTTTGCAAAAAATTCTATTCTGTCTTGTTTCAAGCCAGTAGCAAATTTAACTTTTTTCCTCTCCGGTTGGTCCGATTGTGCTGGCCTTTAATCAATTAACCGTCCGTATCTGTTTGACAGTTTTGTCAAAACTTCGTGGTCAGCTGGAGCGGCGAAAAACAACCAAAACCAAAGCGACAGGCGCGCCATCTAATTTGATAAAAAGTCGCCAGCTCACGCCGCGACGTGTCATAAAACGTACAGCCGATGTCTAAACAATTATTCCTCTGGAACGAGCGTTATCCGGGCATCCGGGCGGGCAGGCGTGACGGGCTCGATCTGATTCAATTTTGCTTGCCAAACCCCAAGATTTGTTTTCCA